TCGAGAAGGTGAGCTCTTCTTATTTCTTATCAGACGATATGATGCAAGGGAAGATGAGTGGTGAACCACCCAATGTTTAGGGTTGGACACGGAAACAGGAACGCTCACCAAACCAGTGAAACCAATGGATGCAGTTCATCAAGATGTGGACATGCATTTGGCTCTTACCAAGAAACTTCACTATTATATAATACATTATAGTATTTGATTAATTCTAGTTGCAGGCCATAGCTTCTAATTAGGTTGGAGGCCATTCTAATTCTATGTTGTACCTTTCACTAGTGCAATCCTCTAGATACCGGTTGAGTCACTCATTTTGTGCCAAGACGTCCGAGACCCTTGCGGACATTGCACGACCCTTGCGTCGCATGGACTTTCAGGAGAAGCTACCCTCGAAGTCCTTCCTGAATGTCGCTGTTCGCGACCGGCGCGGCGGTTAGGGACCCGTGTGATCAGGGGCCCGTGGAGTTTGTTTGCGAGAAAGTTGTTTTGAGACTGTATACATCTGTATACTGTATATTTTTGTATATATACACTCCGTTCTCTCAAAATTGGAGCAAACTGCTCCAAGTTCAAGGCTCCTGATTTTCCGAAAGTTGTTTTCCTTGCAGTGGAATGTCGGTGAATCAAGTTTAAGGCACAACGCACAATCATGGAATCTTACCCTGCCTCCCCCCAATGGTTCAGCAGATGAGAACGAATTCATCTCTTTCAACTTACCAAGTGTCTTTTTTAGCCTGTACCACCTCAACATGAAAAACATCACCTTGCCCAGAAACGTTGCTCTTCCACATGCATCGTCGCTGCAAGACGGACGGCGGCTAGAAAGAGACGGACCGTCGCGTGCGAGTCGGCGAAACGGCGCGTTCTTCGCTTCGGAGGCGCGGGGAGGAGGATTGTACACTAAAACATGGCGACTTCGGGACCTTTCAGGACCGACACTGGGATCGGGGGGTGCGATAGTTGAGTGGAGACTTGACCGGCATAGACCCCAAACAGTTTCAAAACGACTTGTTGGGACCAATATTAGTCAAGAACGACTTCTTGGTACGCCCTACCTTCCCCCCAAGAGCAAATAATTGCTGAATCAATGGTTTTTGTCGGCATCGACATCGCTATCGTTCGGCCACAAGAGAAGACAAGAGAAGAGCAGGACAAGAGAGGACAAGAGGAGGACAAGACCCGGCCACAGAGCCCGGCCACAGAGCGCGGCCACAGAGCCCGGCCACAGAGTTCAGGGGCACCGGCAGTCAGTGTGGCCAGCTCTTTTTTCTTATATAGAGCCCCAACAGTAAACTGTTTGGGGAATTTAAGTTAAAAACACATACATACATACATACATACATACATACATACATACATACATACATACATACATACACACGGCTCAAGCGGCTCAAGGACACGGCTCAAGAAAAGGACGCGGCTCAAGCCGCTCTGGTTCAAGGAGGCTCAAGCGGGTCTGACCTTGGCACTACGCGTGACCACCTTCCACGCTCCTGTCACAGAGAAGGGTGCCACGGCAGTGCTCGCTTGGATGATGGAATGGGGCAAACGAACAACCTACCAAGTTTGTGGCCATGCAGGTTGCTGTAACTGGATATGGGACGACCGAGTCCGCGAAGGTTGTGTCTGCAGACAATGTGGCTCCACCTGGACCAAGCCAGCAGCAGGGTATGCGGCCAGGTCCCCTACGCCATGGCTCACTTCGAGATGGAAGAACAACCGCAGTGTGACACCTCCACCGGACTATGGAATGGGACAGGCAACAAGATCCAGAAGCAGACAGGGGACCTTCTCCTTTCCTCATCGGACAGGCTGGATGCAACCCTCCAGCAGAAGCTCACTGAGTTGGGCATAGCTCCACCCACCTCAAAGATGTCTTGCGGGACAACCTGTCTCAACTTCCGGCCCCGGTCAAGGAGCTGGTGGAAAGAATCACACGGCCGCAGCCTCCCACAGTCACAGAGAAGGATGTGGCCATCAAGCTCAAGCAACAAGTCTCCACCTTACGAGACCTTTCACACCGCAAACAGACCTTACAGACCAAGATTGATCCTCCTTGACAAATGAAGAACATCCAGAGCAAGATCGAGCAGGAGCAAACCGAACTCAATAGCACCTCGGCCTACATGTCCTTGGTCAGTAAACAACCTGACCCTGTACAGCCTGTACAGCTGTCTGATGAGATCGATCGCAAGGACCCTGTGCCGGAGGCAGTTGCAGGGTTCATCAGTACCTTGGGAGTCAATTTGACTCAGGAGCAACACGATCAGCTCAAAACCATGCTCAAGCGGCCGCCCTCCTCCACAGAGGAAGATGCTAAACGACGGAAGACAGGGGAAGAGGACAAGGACATGTCGTGTGGGTAACAATGCTACTCCTGGTTTGAAGCAATCTACATCTCCATTCTCTCAAGAAAGAGAACCAGAATTCATTCTCTCAATGATTTTTTTGTTCCTTCAGGCTCAAGCCAGGCGGACGGGCTTCCTCGGGGCGGCTATGGCCCTGTGCGCTCTGGTTTGCAACCGCCAAAGTTCGAAAGCGGAGGACCTCCATCCAAAGGAGGCCACACAGGTCAGGATCCGGGAGGGGCACCGAGTTCTTCTGCCTCAGTGCAAGCTCTACGGAGCCTTGCATCCCACGGGACCCTTTCCCGGAATCCTTGGCCCATTTTTGGCAGCTCTTCATGGAGGTTGATGAGCAGGACACCCAACAAGTCCAACTCACAGCTGGGCAGCAAGGTTTGTTCCAGCTTTGTCAAAGAGACCTTGAAACTTCTTGCAAGCATTTTGTAGAGAGGCCAACTCTTCACACCGGGCAGCAAATGTTAGTTGATCTAAAGCGGATGCACTCACTGCTCTCGAAGCACCTGGGACTACCTGGGGAACTTGAACCATCCTCAGGCAATCTCTACATCATTTGCCAAGGGCTCACCAGCATCCTTCAGAACAGGCAGAATCTTTGTTTTGCCGATGCAGCTCTTCGTTGTTGGAGCTGGACAGGGGCCTTTGCTGAAGAGCTCTTTCTGGCTTGGGGCTCAACGCACTTAGCAGTGAGGCAGTTTCTCTCGAGCACGGAATTGAGGTCATCACAGGTTTGGATGGGGTGTTTGGCGTCAATTCGAACCTGGGCAACAGGACGACGTAGGGCACTTTGCAGGACATGTCTGGCAGTACGTACCATCCAAGCGGAAGGCATCGGTGGGGATCCCATGCATTGCCAGCGAGGCATTCTGCCAGGATGCTCTCAGGCACCAGCTATTTCCAAACTCATCCTCTACAGGCCGCTTCGACAGCTCGTTCAGACACCCTGCAGTGTCCTTGCAGACATGGGTGGATGACGTGGCCTTCCGCGCCCTCAAAGCGGAACTGGAGACCGCTGGACTTCGCATCAACGCGGACAAATCCGGCTTCTTAACCAGCGCCAAAGAAGTCAGCAAGGAGATCAACCAATTGCTCACTCCGGAAGATCCAGCCCACTACGACGTCCTGAGAGAGTTGGGAGTGGATGCAACAGCCACGAGGAGAAGAAGGGTGACGCAAGTCCGCAAACGGAGGCATGCGCGCCGGACTTTGACGTCTCCAAAAAAAAGCAGTGGAAGCGCAGACTGCATCCTGTCCCTGGAGGAATGCTGGCCTGTGCTTCTTCACAAATTAATTGAGCAATTCAAGTGGCAACGCCTCTTGAGATTGACCAGGTATGAGGGTTGCCACGACTTGGAAAGGCCATTGGATTGGACCGTCAGTTGGAAGCTCCAGAAATCCACCAGGGACAAGATTGCCACGGCATTGCGGGCCTTCCACCATGAGGCACACTGCATGGTCAGCAAGGCGAATGCCCACTTTGGGACGAAGACCTCACTTTCGTTCATCTGATCTGGCAATGCAAGTTCTGGCACGGGCGGGTCAAGGACATGCCGGCCCAATGGAAAGACCGCCTAGCACATGGAACTGAACCTGAGCTGTGGAATAGAGGCATGATCCAGTCCATCTCTAGACTGGCATGGGCTCCTTCGTTGGCAAAGGAGGTTGGGCCACTCAAGAGACCAAATCCTTTGGCCATGGACACGCCTACACCATCGCTCTTGCGACCACATGCACGGATGCTCGGCGCAAGCGGTACTGTATTGCCATTGGGGCGCACCATATCCAAAGCAGGGCATTGGTGGCTTCGCTCACCGGTGAGGGTCAGCAAACACAGAGCCCTCTTCTACGCCCTCAAGCACTTGGCTTTACATGTCTCAGAGAAGATACAAGTGGCCATCTATGACCATCAAGTGTGGAAAAACTGGACACCTCATCTTGCTTATGAGAACTACCCGGATCTGTTCCAAGGGCTTGAATGTGAGGACTTTGAATTGCTCAGGCCTCTGCTCTTCTCCCTCAAGAAGCTCAAGGAGAATCCACTCCGAAGCTTTCTCCAGAAAGCTACCTCCCAAATTGCCAAGCAGGCAGCAGCTGCAGAGAGACCCACTGAGATCCTGGACCTCCAAGAACATTGACGAGGATGCGGAAGCAATTCTTCTGGCTGCTGCTGAGCGTATTGAAGGGGTCCTGAAAGACAAGAACCACTACTTCCACAGAGGGGAAGACGTCCAAGGCCACAAGGCGCCGCTCATTCAGCAGAAGAAAGAACTTGTCCAGCACCTTTTGGCCTCCCCTCTACAGAATGGGCATCAATGGGCCCCCCTTCCGCACAGGGGTCGCATGCAAAAAGTGCAAACATAAATTTTGACCATCGAATATGCAGCACAGGTCACATCCGTGATCAAGCGCAAGACGCGCATGGAAACCATCCAAGAGATCATCGATGGGCAAGCCACACCGGTTCCTGGGACTCATTTCATTTCCCTGGACCGAGCTTATGTCCGCTGTGGACAATGCAGCAGCTATGTCTTGGCGCGCACCTGTCAAGACAGCTTTGACAAATGGCTGAACGAGAAGTGCTAAGCAGGGCCCTTAGAAGCCTCAGCTTGGCACAGACACCCATCGCACAACATGGAGAGAAAGGGCAACAAGGTGACTTGCGCCAGATGCCACACGAAAGCCAAAGTCACGGACGGCGTGGTCGAGCTGAACACAAGCTTAGAGCCAGGTGCCAACTCCAAGGATCAAAGGATCTGAGGACTTTCTTTGGCTAGGAGAGCACTTCATGGCACAGCAGAAAAGGCGTGCCAAAAACAAAATAGGAAAAGGACACAATTTTACTTTGGGAAGGAGGATCATTTGCGTTCACTTTGGGTGTGCGGACAGCTTGGGTGGGGTGTGCGCAGAGACTTTTGTGAGGTGACGCAACAAAGCCGTTTTGCCAGGATGGTTGCTTGAGAGGTGTTGGTCCCAAGTGCACCTTCGGTGATCAGCTATCAGATGTTCTTGGGTGTGAAGGGGGGAATTGGCTTCTTGATGTACGTATGTTTATATGCTATATGGCCGTAGTCAAATCTGGAGTCACCACCAGTTATAGTGTGTTTGAGTACTCAACTGTTCTGATCGAATTGGAGGAGATGTTCTTTTTGTATTCCTGTTCCGTGTCCAGGCTCCGCTCACCCTGGAAAAAAAACTTCTCGGTTTCGACGAGAACGAAGGTCACCATGCCCGCGGTGATTCGCTGGTCACGTCGCAGCCGTCACCAGGACCCAACTTGTGGATTGGCCCAGCTTCGGTCCTGGGACACTTTAGAGTTGGAGCGTGACGTGGAGCAATGCTTGGGTCAGGCCGGACTGACAGAAGAGGTGGCCAACTGCCGACGACATGAAGCCGCGGCCGTGCACCACTCCTCGGTGTCGTGAGTCGTGAGCCGTGAGAGAGTCGCGCCGACGCCGCGAGGCCAGCTGTGTGGCCGGGGGGCCGATTCCGACCCAAAAGAAAGAGCGTGCAAGGCCCGACGTCACCCCGGGAGGGTTGGACCATGTTGGACCCACTGCTGCACATAAACCTCAACAGTTTGACACACCATCATTTTGAAACAAGGCTTCGGGTACCACCACTCCATTCGACAGTTGAAACGTGCTGCTTCCTGGTTGTGGTTGTCATTGTCGCCGTCGTCGTCGTCGTCGTTGTTGTTGGTCCTAACTTCGCGGCGACCGCGCTCGCTTGCCGAAACGGGGGATCGTCTTGAAAGCGCCCTGCCACCCACCCAGCCAGCCAACCAGCCAGCCACACAGGCACACAGTTGGAAGGATCTCTTTGAAGAATCCTTGTTCCTTTTGTGCTATTGTGATTTGCCTGCAGAACCCAGATTTGGGTTTACAGCATACTAGTATACACTGTATAGGCTGATAAGCAAGTCAGTTCGTTTGAAACATTTTCTGGGTCTCAAATTCTTGCATAGCGCATGTTTCTGAAGCATTCTGACATCATATGGCATCGGACACTGCAGTAGCTGGCCTGGTGTGACAGCGTTGACCAACGCACTGACCAGCTTCTTGGCTGTTGATGAACATTGGATTGTTTGACCAGTAGCACATCATGTACGCGTAGCACCCTTATTCTTGTTTGAAGCGTGATCCACTGTTAGGCCCTACATGGTGTCTAGTCGTTGACACTCGGATACTATCTTTCACAGACCCAGCCTTTCGGGTGACTTGCGCGAGGCATCCGGCAGCTAAGCAAAGAGGAGCTGGAGACCTTGCTACAGGAGCGTGCTGTAGATGTTTTGGCTTTCTCGCCCAGCGCAGGCAAGTTGACGGTTGCAGTGCTTGTGGAGCAGTATATATTTGCTTCGCAGGTAGTCAGTGAGTTGTGGGTGGAGTGTGGGGATGGCAGCCCAGGGCCGACCGAAAGCGACTGTGATGCGGGTTTGTCGCATAGTAATGTTGGCTGTTCATCTAGTTCCCTCCCCATATGGACATGACTTTTTTGAACAAGAATCAAACAGTACAGGCCCTAGCAGAAATATAGCACAGTTTCCATAATTTCATGTATTTGTTCCGACTCTCTGCCGACCAAGCCATGCACACCACTTTTTCTTTTTGGATCATTTCTCACAATGAAGTATAGGTTCTGTGGTGCCAAGGAGTCCACCAAGTGACGCTGTCATGGGGGGCCTCCTGGTGTCATTTTTGTAATGGGAGAGGCATCCATCTCAATTTATAGGCTGTTCTTAGCGGTCAATGATCTCCATGCTCAGTGCCGAGACCCATGTTTGACCAGGATCTCAAGCTTTGGGTCCAATCTTTTCTCCCTTCAAGCATCCCAGCAAAGATCATCACATTTTAGAGTCAAACAGTTTGGGACTGTTCCAAGGGGCCGTGAAATTCCCAGGGAGTGTGTGATGGGAAGATGTGCCAATCTTTGTCCCTAGCCGAAATGGTTCCTCCCACAGGATGTTCAAGATGGTCCCAAAGTGACGAGAGATACAGTAAACAGTTAGCCGTTTTATTCGTTTAGAGAAGTAACAAGCAACCAAGTGGGACACGCTTGGAGTTGCAACAACGGGATCTATTCGGCTGCCAGGGACATCCAGGGACATGGCATTATTGTTTCACAGAACTTGTCAGGGTGGCAATGCTGTGGGGCTTCCTTGTGCAACAATCTCGCAGGATGCTCTTTTGCAATGCTTGTGCTTGACACCCTTCTAGGACACTCTTGCGGGACACCTTTTCTTGAGTTCTTTTGGAGGCTCTTATGTGACACTCTTGCTTGACACTCTTGCTTAGCTTGACACTCTGTGGGGCTCTTGGTTGCAATGTTTGAGCTAATTTGTGGCAATCTGTCGCGCCAAAGACGACGAAAGAAGGAGGAATGATCTTTCGCGGAAGCTCAACCTGGGGTGGTGTTTCATGGTGCGCACGTGTCCAGAGCCTTGTGCGGGCATTGGTCTTCCGCTGCTGCCATTCACCTAATGCAGATATTTGAAGCCCATGAGCCAACATCCTTGGACCCACGCTGTGGAGAAACCTTGTCCCTTTCTTTCCAGGCACTGTAGTTTTCAACATGTGTGCACTGTTGAACGCTCGTTTGTCTGCTGGAGCCTGCCCCAGCAGTGCGACAGTGAAAGCTCTGTTGTCCCTAGTGTTGAACACTTTTTTGTTTCCCCTCACATCCACCGACACAATGGTTTCAACTACCGGATTATGGAGTGACAGAGCAAATCAGGCTGCAGTACACTGCAAGTGTTTCGTGGGCTAGGCGCCTGCATGAAGCTGAAGTAGAATAGAAACTCTGGATGTTGCAGCTGTCCAATGAAACTATCTAGACTCCTGTATGGCCTGTATGGTTGCTATTGATTATTGATATTCTTTGATCAGGTTGACTATTTTCTGGTAGAGTACGGGAACCACAAGCCCGCCGAGGACATGCTTTGCCCAATCATCAACATCCCCGCACCCCTGATACCAATAAACAATGTTTGATCGGGTTCCCCTTTGCATCCCTTTGCCCATGCGCGGTATGTGTGTGTGCAGTTGCCACATTCGAGCGCAGTTGCTGTACATCAGAAGGGGGTTACAATGTTGAAATGAAATTAACTCAGGGTTTCAAGGATTGAGCTGATTTGCCGCACTTCGTCGTGACAAAATGAAGGGGAGGGATGCTTTGTGAGACATTCAGGTTCTTTGCGGACTGTTTCATGGTCACTAAATCCTGCGGCCTGCACGTGTTCGGAGTTCCAGAGCACCCGGTGAACGCGACACCGTGTGGGTGGGGAACTCGCGAAGCAAGCAATGGAATGGGTTGCCAAGCAGAAGGTCCGTGTTTTGCAATTGAAGCCAAAAACTGAACTTTGAGTCTTTAGTTTTTGATATCTATACCTTTGCGCTGTGGCAGGCTTTGCTCTTCGGGCCGTTGGAAAATACTTGCCCTCACCAATATGCGAAAAACTGAGTTGCACTGTTTTGCGAACCACGTTGTGTATGTAATTCCATGTCCGCACAGCCGTGGAGTGATGCCTTCACTGAGGTCCCAAGTCCCAGATTGATTTGACTCTGACCGTCTGATCTGGCCTGGCAGGCAACTGTGCCGAGTTGAGGCGGTTGCTGGACACCACACTGGCCACTGCTAAACCTCGCGTTGTGGTGTTGACCATCAATGCGCTGCCTCTTGGAGCTGGAGTTGTGGCTGACTGTGGGACAAAGGTTCGTTTGTACACGCCGGATCCAGATCATGGGTGATAAATGAAAAAACTCAGATGGTGTGCGCACGCACACGCAGGTTGCTTGTGAAGATGTCATTGCACCAGGTTGAACACATGCAGATGCACAAGACATCCCTGCCCCAACCCCCTACCCTGGTGGTAATGTTTGGGTTCAGACGTTTGATACTATAATGTTTGTTGTATTTGCGCGAATTTTTGGGGCAATCTCCAAGGCCCACCTTGGATTTTCATTCTTAGATGCATGCGTTAGAGACGGGTTATGGCATCCAAATTGGCAGTGAAAATGTGATCAGGGGGGGGTTGTTGACCAAGACTTGAAATGGACAGATTTGCCAAAAAGGGTTGGAGAACGGCTATCATGCCATTTCGTGTCAACAAACTGTACTATCCCGTGCAAACTAAGCAACCTTGAATGTGTGTCAAGCTTTGTTTGTCGGTAATTTTAGTTGATTGGGGATTGACGTGAGGTCCAAACAAACGAATCATTACACGCTATCCATGGCGGGAACAGCGAAGGTTGCGGGTTCCAAGGATCAAAAACAGGCCGCACCGGCTTTAGACCAAAGGACGCGGAGCAATTTGTCAGGGCAACCAAGGCCACGTGGAAGTGTGCGTGTCTTCTTCGGGCCCAAGGCGACCATCAACCAAACCTTCCCATATATTCACACGATAGAACCATAAACACAATAAAACACATATTCCATCCACCAGTTCACACAGCGCGGCTCAGGCTAGCTCCCCCGCGCCGTGCAGCGCCGGACTTTGTGCGTGCGAGGAAAACGGGTGAGAGGCCATGGCGAGGGTCGGGGTGCAGAGAGCTGGAAGAAACACGCCGTGGTCACGCTAGATCTGAGAAAAGGGCTGCCGTTCGCGTCCGAGACATCCTTGTTCTCATGGAAGGTCCTTCATCGTTGTTCTCACGGCCTGTGCCAAAACGCTCCCCCCCCGCGTCAGGTTCGGGGTGCCCTACACCAGCTGCTCCTTGCAGTCGGCCATTGACTTCCTGGCTCCAAGGTGTGTGAAAAGCGCAGCGTCTCGCGTGGTTCGCTCTTGCAGGGTTTAGACTGCAGGTCTGTTTGGGAGAAAAGTGGAGAAGAGTTCGTCAGTGAGCTTTTGCTCCTAGTAGGAAGAATGCTCCTAGTAGCGATGCCAGGAGCCCCTAGTTGCTCCTACGTAGTAGAGATGCCCTTTGCTCCTTCTGTCTCAAACGTCATGGAGATCCTTGAGAGACTGGAGGCCTCGACATGGAGGGCCTCGTTGCGAGAGAAAGCCCGGCAACTGTAGTGGACACCCTTGCTATCTTCAGGGATCTTCAGGGTCGATTTCTGCAGCGCCCGTTAACTCACGTACTGCCAGCATTGCAGACAGACAAGGTAGGGACCTTCAAGACGGACGTGCGCGTGCTCGAGCATCATCAACAAGATGGGAACATCTGGAGAATCAGGACAGATTCTCGATTCCAACAGATCAAGACTCACTCCAGGTGCAAACCACTCCTAAGCGAAAAATGTCATCAAATCCATTCAAATCCGCCGAAAGCCTCAATTTTGGGACAACCAATCGACCTCCTCTATGACAGGCCAGTGGCTTTAGCTAGCAGCTAGAACCACCTTCGCGCATGGTCTCAGACATGGAGTAAAGTCAAAAATGTGTGTGTGTATCCAAATATATATATATATATATTTTGTATACAAATATATATATATATATAATATGTCATGCCTCCAATTAACAGCACCTTTGTCAAAGCACTGTGTCGCGGCTCATTCTGATTACTCTTTTGTGCATATTTTTGGCTGAGTCAGCATGATCAGACGAGTTCACTTGACCTTTCCCTCTGGAGCCGAAGGCCAACTTGTTTTGCATGGTGTGCCTGCCTTTGTCAGGTGCAATGGTCTGTCAGAATGATTTGATCACCTTGTTACTGACAAAGTCATGTTTGTTAAGAAGCAACATTGTTTTGTTCAGTTAAGAATAGTTTCACACTTGCAACATCTTGCAACAATGGTTTTCCCCGGTCTCACCATCCTGTGAGATTGCGCCCTTGTGTTACGAGTTAATGCCGGTTGGGCGGTGACCGGAGCAGTAAGTGATCGTCTCCAGCGTTGGTTTTGAATGGGAAACCGCTTGTGACCTTTTCATGTGCCCTGATCCCTGTCACTACTTTGTGTAGTATACACACCCCACGCAAGAGCTTGCTACGCCACGCCCAGCGATACTCGTATCATCTCGTATCGCACGATACGTGTGGAGTCGTGTGGAGCTTGGATTGGCTGAGAGGTTTCGTCCGCTCTTCCTGGACACCCTCCGGGCCGTCTTCTTGCGCGAGGACCAACGAGGACCAGCCTTCGGCGAGGCGTTCCAACCGGGCGTCCGACCTGGTCTTCGCAGCGTTTTAGATGGAAAACCATGGTCAAGCAGGAGAGTGTGATTGTTCTACCCGATTGCTGCCGGTTTGGTCGGTGTAGGATCCAAAAGGATGGCCTGACAGGGAACATGGCAAGAAAACAAAGACCACCAATTGAGTGGCTGGGCCATCCAAAAGTTCTCCCATTGCCACCTGCGCTTCGGAGGCGCCAAGCGTTGACGTGCTTTGGCGCAGAGGTGCCGGTTGCACGCTGCCACTGATTGACCTGCTCCCGGACGGAGGCCGGCTGGTGGTGGCTTTGGGCGAATCCGGCAGTGGATTGCTGGTGTGATGGTTTCCGTTGGGCGCCCAACACATGTTGCGATGATCAAAGGACATCACAGATGACATGGTTCCGCTCTTGCATCATTTCATTTGGTGGTTTGTTGAGATTGGGAAAAATCCGTGAGCCACGATGAACCTGCATGCTTGGTGGCTGCTGTTGGAGAATGGAACTTTAGGGTTCATCATCTCGACCCTTCAAATTTGAGTTTGCAAGTGCCCACAACGCAGGCTGACGCAACAAAGTTCACGGAGGTCCATAACAAAATCATGGCAACATTATGTCATATATTGGTAGTCAGTGAGGACAACTGCTTCGGTGGTGCCACAACTGATTTTGTGGATCAATGGACTGAGAACAGAGGCAGGCAGGGACAGGGAGAGTCATGTTAAGCACGTGTTCTTCATGTTTTACACCAAGTTTGGTCACATGTTTTGGACTTGTAATTAATAAGGAACACATGTTTTGGTCACCAAGTTGGTTGCCTTATCCTTTGGTGACCCGTGGTTCACCTTCGGGTCCAAAGTTGCTTCGGTTGAATCTCTGCCGCCCGCCCCCGACATCCTCAGGTGAGCGCAATGTGTTGCAAGAGATGTCCAGTCTGGGCGCGCGTGGGGGGAGGGGAGAAAGACCTGATGTATTCTGAAGAATTGTGTCGAGTTCATCATGTGTCTTCATGCTTTGTGCTGACCGAAGCCCACTCATGTATATAAACTTCTACGTAATGAGTGACAAGAGCTGCCAATTGAACGCATTGGATGAGAAGCGGAACGCAGCTGCAAAAGCTTGTGCAGCTTGGAGGTAGTTAGTTAGTTATTTAGTTAGTTAGTTACTTGGTTAGTTCGTTAGTTAGTAAGCAAGTAAGCAAATAAGCAAGCAAGCAAGGAAGGACGCGAGCAGGGAAGAAACCAAGGAAAGAAGGAAGCAAATAAGCAAGCACGCACGCACAGACGCACGCGCACGCACGCACGCACCCACGCTCGCACGCACGCACGCAAGCACGCAAGCGCGCGAGCAAGGAAGCAAGGAAGGAAAGAAGGAAGCCAGGAAGGAAGCAAGGAAGGAAGGATGCAAGGAAGGCACAAAGAGAAGGGAAGAGAAGGGAAGGGAAGGGAACGGAAGGGAAGGGGAAGGAAGGAAGTGTATTTGTATATGTATATATAATTATATATGTATGTATGTATGTAATGTAATGTAATGTAATGTTATGAGAATCTTACAGCCACAGACTGGGGGTGGACAAAACATTTATTTTTTCATTTCGTTTTCGTTTTCATCATCATTTTTTTCATGCCCATTTGTGTCTTTTTTCATGTAAATGTGTGTTTTCGTTTGCATCATCATTTTTTACACGCCCACCCGTGTTGTTTCATGCGTGATTGCGTTTATCGTTTGCGTCCCCTGAAGCGAAGGCTGCCAAGTCACTTACTCCTGAACCCTCTTTGCTACCCTGGTCGGCTAGTCACTTTCTTCTGTTTTGCTTTAGCTGTTGTGAAATGTACTTAAACTGTCGTTCACGCGTTGCCGAAACTATCTGAACTTAAAACAACATGAACAGACCAATTTATATACATGAACACATGAATTAAATTACAATGTTGCCAACGTGTGGCCGAAACTAGCCAAAGCGATCATGAAAGACAAAAGAATGCTGGAGCTCAATTGCAATTGCCTCCCCTGAAGGAAAGCGGCCAAGTGAGCTAGTCCTGAACCCTCTTTGCTGGTGGATCACACATTTCCTTCTATTTTGCTTTAGCTTTTGTGAAATGGACCTGACTATCGTTGATTTGTGGCGCAAACTAGCCAAAACGAAAAAGACATGAAAAAAAACGAAAAATAAATGAAAAGCAAAAACGAAACGAAAAAAATGAAAAAAAATTGGTCGCTCAAAAATTGCAATTTTCCTCGAGTTTTTTTCATTGTTTTTTTCGTTTTTTAGTTTCGGCTAGTTTCGGCCACAAAGCAACGAAAAACGAAACAAAAAAGAACAAAAACTCGAGGAAAATTGCAATTTTTGAGTGAACAAACAATTTCATGTTTTTTTTTCGTTTCGTTTGCTTTTCATTTATTTTTCGTTTTTGTTTTCATGTTTTTTTTCGTTTCGTTTTTGCTTTTCATTTGTTTTTCGTTTCTTTTTTCATTTTTTTTTCGTGTGGCATTTTGGCTTTCATTTGCTTCCTCATTTTTTTGTTTGTCATTTTGGTGTTCATTTGGTTCATCATTTATTTTATTTGTGATGTTGGTTTTCATTTGATTAATCATTTTCTTTTCATCTGTCATTTTGGTCTTCATTTGGGTCATAATTGTTTATATTGTTCCTGACAATTTCGTATGTAATTTTAGTTTTCATTCAGGGCTGTCTCTTCACTAACCTGTTTTACTTCCCATCCCTGTATGACAAATTTCTAGGCCACTAGGCCACTAGGCCACTAGGCCACTAGGCTCAGGCTTTTGGGGCCCAGTGGTTTATCTCAGCAGCTTGCAAGTTGCATTCCATGATTTTGATCCTTGGTTTCGATTACTCGGGAAGGGATGGGTGAGGGAATCCCTTCACGCATCTATATATAGTTTGGGGCGCTGACTGTGACTGAAGTGATTTTGGAAGCCCATGGGAAGTGACAGCAAAGCCAACCAGTTCTGGAAGGATGAACATGACGCAAAAAACATGATAATCCCAAAATAAATGAAAATAAAACAAACATATTTTGTAAAAAAATGATGATCTAAATAAAGATCTAAATGAAAAAACAAAAATCAACTTTCCATTGCCTGGCTGGCAAAGATAGACTTAAATGTAATGTAATGTAATGTAATGTAATGTATGTATTAATGTAATGTACTGTAATGTAATGCAATGTAATGTAATATAATATAATGTATGTATGTATGTATGTATGTATGTATGTATGTGGGTATATATGTACTTGATTGGTAGTTAGTAAGTAGTAGTTAGTATGTGGTGAGTGGGTGGTGATGGTGGTGGGTGGTTGGTGGTGGTTGGTGTTGCTGCTGGCGTTTTTTTGGTGGTGGTGGTGGTCGTAATAGCAGTAGTAGTAGTACTACTACTACTACTGTAGTAGTAGTACTACTACTACCACTAATACTACTACCACCACTAATATTACTACTACCACTACTACTACTACTACTACTGCTGCTGCTGCTACTACTTACTATTTACTACTTACTACTTACTACTTACTACTACTTACTACTACTTACTACTACTTACTACTACTTACTACTACTTACTACTACTAACTACTACTAACTACTACTAACTACTACTAACTACT